GACAGGCTCAAAAACCAAAATAAATAAATAAATAAATAAATAAATAAAATAAAAATAAATAAATAAATAGCGTAAAACCCCCAAAAGTAAAACTTGTAAACAATGTAATGCTTAAATGTAACTAAAATAACCTAGCTTTTTGTTTGAATTTTCAGAAAAAAACGTACTATTACATTGAATCAAACAAATGCTTTGTGGTATTATTTTTAACTTAAAAATAATATAAAAAAACTAACCTTATATATCTTATATCTTTGAATTCTGCAATTTTTTTGTCTGTAAAGTAGTTACGAATTATATGGCCAGCTGTAGAAAAGTATCACAAAAGCTAAAAAATGAATCTTTCTGATTACGTACATCAACATTGCTTTACCTGACTAAAATATTCCACATGATTGCATACATACTAATTTCTGAAGACTTTGCCTGATAATTGAAACTTAATAGATGACAGGGATTTAACTGAATCATTTATTTGTGGACAGTTGAGTACTTTAGGCAAAAAAATCTTTGTAATTATTGTCACTTTCTCTACACCAGTCCTGCTACCAATTAATGAGATAATCATCATTGTTCATGTTTGTGATATATGAATGGTTGTCACGAAATAATGAGCTATGATCAATCAAATAGTTTTTGTCACATGTAAGTAAAAAAAAATATGAGAAGTATGATTGCATTAACCCAAGAGGCAGGCAATACTCATTTAGAAGTGTGAATTTTTTGCCAGGTTAGGAAATCATGCTAGAAGCTATAGAACTGAGGATCGCCAATTTTATTGTCGATTGGGGATAACTGGGAAGATTAAACAAATCAAAATGAGAGCTGGAATATTCAATGCAGTCTGCAGTGTAATGACTTGAATTTCATTGTTAATCTGATTATTATAACTATTTACTAGATCATACGCAAGTTCTTTATTTTTCAGGGCAAGTACTTTGGATCACACCAATTACCAAGTAATATGAGCTAAGGCTCATTTAAGCATCATATCATTAAGAATAAGAATGATGATATAAAGTCTATGAAATCGAAAGACAGGCAGGTCTTTTGGTAAGATTAGTACAAAACTAATTTGGGCAGACTGAGGTTACAGGTGGCTCAAAGCCATCAGGTGTTTCTTTAGAATTCAAAGACTTCTCAGAACCACAGAGTGGGTGTGCCTTCTTCCTAAAGAGTGCCCAGCTTTCTACAGTGTAAGAAAAGTTTACTGCTGAAATGTATTGCTAAATCATTGGAAGAGTGTATTAGAATGAACATTTGTACTTTAAATGTGCAGAAAAACTTTAGTCTGAGGCCAATTGTTGATTTCTCAAATGAGAAATAGTCTCTGATTAACTTTGTCTTATCAAAAGATCAAAATACTAAAGCACTTAGTATTTTTTTTTTGTTAGAGGCAAATTTTGAAAAGTAAACGGCCACCACGATTTATGTCTAGCTAACCCTACAGTGTGCTTCTTTGACTCTAACAAATCCTATTTATTGAGAGTGTGTGCCCTGTGATTTAAAACACACACACATGAAGAGCGGGTCAAATGCTACAGTGGATTTTATAAAAATGACTATATACTTTCCAACATTTTTCATCTCTATTAAAAAAACTCGAAAGGGAATAAAGTGTCACTGGTGTGAAAAGGCTTGAGATCCTCTAGGGATAGTGATCTCACTAGAGTTTCCTAAGTTTTCCCTTCCAAATGGAGCATTTCTATTTTCATTTTTTTCATATCCTCCAGCCATTTATATGCAAGTGTATACTGAATGTCCATTCAAGTTCTTAAATGAGATTATAAATGGTATCCTTAATCATATTTATTTGGTTAATTAAACATTGTCGTGTTATTTTACGACTGATTAAAACTTAAAATGTCCTTACAACTCTTCTTATTAAACTGCAGAGTCTCTTTATTTACTCCTAAATCTGCCCTGGCTTTACTTTTAATAGTTTAGATTATAATATAATTACAGCATTCCTCCTGCTTTCCATTCCCTACCCCCAAATTCTCCCATATATTCCTCCCTGTTCTCCCTCAAATTCATGGCCTCTTTTTCACTAATTATTACTTCATGTGTAGATGTATGCAATATGTGTGTGTATGTGTACATATTCCTAAATATAACCTGTATATTTTGTATAATGTTACTTCTATGTAAACTTTAAGGTTGACCATTTGTGATTTTCTTTATTTTTTTATTTTAATATATTTGTATTTATTTATTTTAAGTACATATCAACAAAAGTTTTCCCTTCTTACTCTCCTCCACCCCCTCTCCTCCATCCCTTCCACCCCCACCAACTCTTGCACCTCTGATTTTCTTTAGAAATGGGTGTGCTTCCCGTGGATAACAACCAGTCATGGAATAGCAATTCGCAGAGAACTAGACACCTTCTCTTCTACTAAAACTGGATGAAGAATCTGGTCAGAGAAATGGGTCCCAAAAAGCATTCAACAAAGTCAGAGACAGCCCCTGCTCCCACTGTTAGGAGTCCCACAAGCAGACAAAACTTCACAACTGTCCCATATGTGCAGACGGTCTGGATCAGTCCTATGTGAACTCTATCGTTGTCAGTTCAGTCTCTTTGAGCCTCTCTGAGCCCAGGTTACTTGATTCTCTAGGTTTTCTTGTGGGACCCTTGACCCTACTGGCTCCTATAATTCTTCCATCTCCTCTGCAGGAATGGCCAAGCTCTGCCAATATAATCTTTAAACAATCTCTAATGTTTGGCTGTTGATTTCTGCATGTCTCCGTCAGTTGCAGGGTGAAACCTCTCTCATGACAGGCGGTTGAGGCACCAATCACTTATAACAGAAGAGTTTTAGAAAATCATTTTCTTGATTTTCTTTGTCTTCTGCCATTCATATTTGGTTCTATCCTAAGTCTCTGGAGTATTATGCCCCTGGGTCCTAACCCTCAGAGATGAACTTCCTCTCATGACTTGGGTTTCCAGGTGGGCTTCTCATTAGTTGGTTACTCTAATTTCTCTGTTATCTTTATCCCAGAACATTTGCAGAAAGGACAAATTGTAAGTGGAAGCATTTGTGGTTGTATTGATGTCCCCATCCCTCCACTGTAAGACTTGTCCGGTTAGAAAGGATGGTTGGTTCAGACTCTTTATGCCTCATTGTGACGAATTTTAGCAAGGATCACCATCGTAAATTCCTGGGAGTTTCCATTGCACTAGGTTTTTAGCTCATCCCATAAGCCCCCAGATTCTACTTGTCTTTTCCAATACTCTCTCCCTCCCTCCTCCCTCCTCAACTGATCCCTCTTGTTCCCATCCCCACCGCAGTTCACTCTCTTTCCCTTTACAGTTAGATTTGTGCTTACCCATTGAGCTCTCCTTGTTACTTAGCTTCTCTAGGCCTGTGAATTGTAAAAATAGGATGTGACAGCCACTTACACTGCAGGAGTTTTAGATTCCAATCTTGAGACATTTTGTGGCTTATAACCCCATCCTTCTCCAATACTATCACAATAAATGGGCTAGGTCACAAGACAGTGTCCAGACTTCTGTCATCCAACACTAATTCTAGAGTACAATATTGTATAAGAAACGAAGTAAAAGACCAACAGAAGAACCAAGCCCATTGCTAGACATACAACAAATAAACTGAGTTTTAGTGTATTTACAGTACACACACACACACACAAATATGTGTGTGTGCATGTATATTTATATATATATATATAATATATAATGTATGCTTTTTTTTCAAAATAGAGAGTTTAAAACAAAACAATCATAGTAATCTAGGCAAAGGCAGAACAGAAAAGTTATAGTAAAGGGGGATTAATATGGCCTAATCTATGAGATTTGGAGGTATACGAGGAAGCCTAACTTACTAAAAAGTCATCAATAGAAGTGATAACAACAGATAATACTGGCATGTCAAAAGCTTTGAGACAACATCATTAATTCTACATGTAATGAGTTTGTATTCATGATACAAAACTGGGGATTAAAACACATTTCAAGGCCACAGCAATCATCTAGTATTAGAAAAGTAAGTTTTGCCTTTTCTGTGTTCCAGATTTAAGTCAGTTGACTTAATTGAAATCCTTGACCCAAAATCAATTTTATCCCAATCGTTCTCTTATACATTTGTCACAGTAATTAAAAACTAACAGAGTATACAAATTGCTTTTCTAATACCGAGTGATTAACACTGGAAATCCATACTAATAATATTGTACATATTGAACAGGGAGTATTCAAGAGCAGATAGTATTATGTAGTAACCCGATTCATCTCTCTGTATATGTATGATTGTATGACTGTAGCAATTAAAGAAAACGAGAGGCCTTGAATTTGAAGAACAACAAGGATGACCATGTAAGAGGGTTTAATGGAAAGAAGGAAAGAAAAAAATCATGTAATTATAATCTCAAAAAATGAAAGAAATTTTACATATTTGGAAATATGGTTTATATATGCTCATTAGTATTACATTGCAAAATCTTGACAAATATTTATTTGTCAAAAGATGTATTTACACCAGTTTCTGTAAAATTTTCTGTATTTGTAATTATGAATAATTATGGCTTTTTTTTGTTTTGTTTTTGAAGACAGGATTTTTCCGTAGTTTAAGAGCTTCTCCTGGAAATTGCTTTGTATGCCAGACCTCAAACTCACAGAGCTCAGCTAGTCTCTAGCTCCTAATAGCTAGGATTAGCACATGTGCCATGACCACCTAAGTATTCTTTTATAGCTGATTTTATTTCTTCTTTTTCAATGTAATCTATTTAATACTGTGTTGTAACTTCTCTGACTATTATTCTCTACATAATGTTGAGTTTAAATAATGAAATAGGAATTTTCTATTTATCATCTTTTTTTTTCTTACTGAGTTTTTATTCATAATCATAAACTTAACTCTGCAATCCAGCTATATTTGAAAGGGAATGAGGAAAATATGGAACCCAAAGAACTTCAGTGAGAGCAGAGATTACAGGGTACTGCGAGCAGATGGGGCTTGGGTGCTATCCTGAGCTACAGAAGGAATGGTCTGGTGAGTAAGAAGCCAGCAACTCAAAAGAATTAGAGTTGTCCACAGTCGGAAATGGTGATCTTCTTGCTGGTCTTGCCATTCCTGGACCCAAAACGCTCCATGGCTTCCACAATGTTCATGCCTTCTTTCACCTTCCCAAAGACCACATGTTTGCCATCCAGCCACTCAGTCTTGGTGGTGCAGATAAAAAACTGGGAACCGTTTGTGTTTGGTCCAGCATTTGCCATGGACAAGATGCCAGGACCTGTATGCTTCAGGATGAAGTTCTCATCCTCAAATTTTTCTCCGTAGATGGATCTGCCGCCAGTGCCATTATGGCGTGTGAAGTCACCACCCTGGCACATGAATCCTGGAATAATCCTGTGAAAGGAAGAACCCTTATATCCAATCCTATCTCTCCAGTGCTCAGAGCACGAAAGTTTTCTGCTGTCTTTGGAACTTTGTCTGCAAACAGCTCGAAGGAGACGTGGCCCAAGGGCTCTCTATCATCTTATTTTAGAAGGAAAGCATTCGTTTTCCCTGTTTGATATTGTAATTGTGAAGGGGTGATGGTGATGCACACCTTTAATCCCAGAACTTGGGAGACAGAGACAGGCAGATTTTGTGAGTGAGGTCAGCCTGGTCTACAAAAACTAGTTTCAGGACAGTTAGGGCTATTATACAGAGAAACCCCGTCTCAAAACACCAAAACCAACAGCAGCAACAACAATACTGTAATTGTCATTGAGTTAATCAATTTTGTCTGTTCCTTGGTTTGTTGAATGTTTGAATTCTTAAGAAATATTTAGACAAAGTAAACATCTTTTACTTTATCTATTGAACTATTTTATAATTTATTCTACTAGTAAATTGAATTGTATTATTTGATTTTGTGGTAGGAAGATAGCATTGCATTTCTTGGATAAATATCTCTTTTGTGATAGTTTTGCCTTTGTAGCTTATATGTATTTATAAATGAGTTTGCACATGCACCCTCATATACATGCATATAGCTTCATTTGATTTAGTATATTTTGTTAAGGAAAGATTTACGTATGTTAATAAAACCTAGGTTTATACCTCATTTCTGTTATGTTGCTATTTTTTGGTAATTATTAAAACAACAAAGTTGTAGCTTGAAGTATCACCTGTTTTATACTTTAAGTTTTTTAAGAGAAATTAATTCTTTTTTTTTGCAGAATTAATATATATATTTTTATATACAACATAACATATACTGTACATTATATTATATAAATTACATATATTACATAAATATACCATACATCATATATTATATAAATATACATATATAGTATCTATCATCTATTATCTATCTATATCTATATATGTCTTACAGTTACCTCATCCTATTGTTATAGATGTGTCTTAGTGATAAAGCATCTGCCTACAGTTGTCTCATCCCCTCTATGACAAAGGGCTTGATGAAGGGCTGAATATGGGACATGGGTTTATCGCTCTTGGAAGCTCTTCTCTGCATCTTATCTGTGTGACAGCCTGAAACTGCTATGCAGAACTGGACTAAAACATATTAATTCTAAGTGTCCTAATTAGTGTTCTTTTGCTGTAAAGAGACACTATGACATTGTCATATCTTCTAAAGGAAAACATCCAATTGGGGCTTGTTTATAGTTTAGCCCATCATCCTCATGGCAGAGAGCATGGTGGCACTCAATCAGACATCTAACTAGGAGTGCCACATCAACAAGTAATGGGAAGACAGAGACTTGGGGCTTTGAATGGACTATTTAAAACCTCAAAGCCCATGACACACTTCTTCCAACAAGACCGAACCATCTCATTCTTCCCTAGATCTGACTGATGACCAAGCATTCAAATATTTGAGCCTATGGGGGCTGTTCTTACTCAAACCACCACATCTCTTTCATTAAATAGAAGCAAGAGATTTTCAGGACTAGAGTCACCAGTGCTTGACATTTTTTTCTAATACTTTTACTTGGATTGCATGCTTCTTTGTGATTTCCAGACAGACAGAAATGATTACTAACACTGCAATTATATTTAATACTGTGGTAGCACTACATATGCTTTTATAATTTCATATGTCTTTTTAAGGTAAACAACTTTTTATGGTAAAAAAAGAGATAATGTTCTCTAATTTCTCAATAATATTTAATTAATGTGTATTAATTTTCTTTAAGTCAGACTATCTGAATATTTATCAATATTTACTTGTGCAATGAACAAAATTAAAGATGAATTTATTATTCTCTATGTTTTCTAATTTATATGTGATTGATTTACTCATTAGTATTTACCAACTTCTTTTAACTTATTTTGATTTTAATTTACTTTTTACTGTGTAAGACAGTAAAAATTAAATTATTCATTTAGGAATGAAATAACCGAGGGTAGCATACTGATATACATAAAAGAAATTAATTTCACAATTCTAAAATACTGTAGCCCAAGATAAAATGTTAATAGAATTGATATCAGAATTGTTTCTTGTCTTATACTTGCTCTCTTCATTGCTATATGTTGTAGCAACAAAACATGTGTTGCTGTTATTTGTAATTCATGACACTATAACTTTTAATATATAAAATACAAATTTGTATTTAAGGAGCTTATGCATTAACCATCATGTTTGAGATTTTAGATTTCCTCTTTTTGAATCCTTGTCATCATTGGAAGATAATGGTTTGGGTGTGTTTTCTTTGACTCTTTCCATCAATCTGTTAATTGTTAACAGTATATCCAGAATGCCTAGGTAGAGCTGCTGAGGTGAATGTAGTTTCTTTTTTTTTCTAATATGTCTACATAGATTCTACATATTTGGATATTTGTAGTTAAGATGGTGTGAGTGTCTATAAATGACAGAAAGCAAGAATAGAGCAATGAGAAAAGGAGGTGTGGAGGGAAAGAGATGAGGTGTGAAGAAGTGGTTAGTAAATCATGTGCTATAAAAGTAATGAGAGGTGATACATAGGAATGGGAGTAGCGGATGGAGGGAATGTTTTGTAAGGGGAGAAGTAAGCAAAATTAATGATGCATTTAAAAGGTAGCCAATTGTTTTCTGATTGAGTGCAATACATGTCTGGTGCTATAAATTTTGTCAAAAATGCATGAGGGACCAGTGAAATGGTTTAGAGATTAAAGGAGCCTGCTACAATTCCTTAATGCCTGTTTGAATTCCCAGGACCCACATGGTGTATGAATAAGATGAACCCATAAAAGTAGTCTTCTGATCTGTACATGTCACACACAAACAAACAACAAACATTAAAAGGTAATGAATAATTAAATCTTATGGTTTGGAAAGGGTGTGACTATATGACAATAATTTAATATTTTCCAAAATGCTCATGTAACCAAAATTTATGTGTGTGTGTTTATATTCTCTTCATAATAAAACAGTTCTCAGTCTTATTCTGAGCAGATATTTTTGTCAATGGGTTATAGTTAAGGCTGTGACTCTTAGCTGTTGAAAGTGTTAAGGACTAATGACGGTTCAGTGCTCAACACTATTGGATGTCTATACCAAACATGGAAAGTCAAAGAAATTTCACTGAAGAGCGGATACAAAGGTTGTAAGAGTCTTAAGTTGGAGCCAATATTGGGACTTCTGTGACTGACAATTTTATGAATTTATCATGAACACTGTAGTCATGAACATGTGACCACAACCTAAACAACATACACACACAGAAAAACAGACAGACTGAAACACACACAAATATAAACAGATACACACAAACATACATAGGCATAGAAACAACCACACACAGGTACAACTACACAAACATATCTACATGGACACTAACATATACAGTCACATGGAGACACAGACACACAGACAGATGAAAACATATACACAGAGACATTTAAACAGAGATTCAGAGATACACATAGAAATACAAAGAGTCACAATCAGAGACACAGAAACATTCACTCACAGACACACAAACATAGAAATACAGACCGAGAAACACACACACACACATACACATGGTCACACACAGGATGTGTAAATATGGAGATTAATCATTTAGAAGAAGTTAGTAACCAGTCATAGGAGGAGGATAAAATAAACAAACAATAAAAAATTGTTTTATATAAGGTACACAGAAAATCTAACACCATTTATTCTTATGTATTTAATCGGTAAATCTTGGCTTGAAATAGAAATTAAAACAAAACCTTGGATTGATTAGAAAAGAGATTACATCATACAAAGCCTCCAGTATTCTAAAATCACAAGTTTTATTCCAAAATTACAACTAACAAGAAAATCTTTAAAAGTTCTGTTTGCTGTGCCTTGCTTTTTCATCCAAATCTCCCCCGAGTCAGCATCACTTGAGATGCTATTCGTATTCACATATCTTATACTTCACATGAGAACTGATGATTAAGATGAGAAGAAAAAATAGTACGAAATATCTATTCATCAGAATGCTGACTGTTTATTGTGATGGCACAAAACTAGCACAATTCAAATTCTTTAGCTATGTTTGTAACAGTGATATAAAAACAGCATAGAAAGTCAATGCAAATATATGAACAAAGGCAACTTTCTTCCTCTGTTTTGGTTCTGGATTCAAAGAAAATGTGAGTGGAAAATTTTAAGTATATTTTAAAAATGGTGATGACATCCATTTAGTCAGTCCTGGATTTTAAATAACAGCCTTAGGCAGCAAACGTTGTATCTCAAAACCTATGATTTAGCTCTGTCCTATCTAGTAATGGACTTCACAATAATATGACTTTCATAAATATTACAGTAATAACTTCACCTTGAAGCAGTTGGATTTAACAACTTAAGTTAATGGAGAAATGAAAAAATGCCATCATTTTTGTATTGTGTCATGTCCACAGGGTTCAGAGTGAATGAGGTTAAAGCATTTCAAGTTCACGATATTTTGATCAACCATTACTAAGGTATTCAGCAAATATTGTCATATCCCAAATTAGAACTTACTGTTAATAGCAGAGCATTCAGTGTGTGTGTGTGTGTGTGTGTGTGTGTGTGTGTGTGTGTGTGTGTGCAGAATTAGGACTTAAGTGAGACACCAAGAGAATCTTTTAATTTTGAATACTTAAGAGTAAATATACTACTCCTGACATAATTAAAATTTAAAAACAGAGTCAAATTGAAATAAATACTCTAGGAAATACCTTAACCAAACTAGTATTTGTGGGAAAATAAGCATAACCAATAACACATTTTCTGGTATATTTAAATTTTTTAAGATTATAATTTAATTACAATATTTATCTATTACCTTCCCTCCTTCCAAACCTTCATATAGTTCTCCCTTCTCTTTTGCAAATGTGTAGGCTCTTTCTTTTGCTGGTGTTATATGTGTGTGTTTCTGTGTAAATAAACATACATATATATGTATACACAAACACACACACACACACACAC